ATTCAACCATGAGGTTGAATCACAGAGCCCCAAGTCTGCTGCCCTGGGCCATGTGAGCAGCTCCAGTGATGCTCTAGAAGAGGGAAAAGAGAGGCAGGGATGGTGTGAATGAAGACATGATTAACAAGGGCGGCACACAGGCTGCAGGAAGCCAAACAGAAGAGAGGCCAAGCTGGCCTGGAGCGCTTACTGGAGGCTCTGTGGAAAAGGTGTCACATGACCTAGGTGCAAAGAATACTATGAATTCTGTATCCGATAGAAGGATTTTGGCTTCAAGCTATAGAAAGGCTGACTAAAAGTGGCTTAAGCCATGAGAAGGTTTCCCTTAACAAGTGAAGTTTAAAAAAAAAGGCATTCCCAAAGTTGGTTGAATGGCTCCAAGAGAATTGTGCTCCTTTTCCTTTCTTCTCTGCCTTCCTCACTTGATCAGCCTCCAGCTCGATGTGCATACTTACTGCTTCAAAGTGACAATGCGGCCGCCTCAGCTCCAGGCATCATCACCACCCACCATACTGTCCAAGGCAGAGAAGGATACCCACGTGACCGTCAAAAGTAACATGAATGCATGTATTGTGGTGTATTTATAAAATGGAAAGCCCACCATGATCAAAAAGAAGAGCATGAAGCACCGCTCCGAGTAACAACGTGGACGAATCCGATAGTAATGATGTCGAACAAAAGAGATATACTGGGTGATTCCATTCATATGAAGTTCAAAAGCAAGCAAGATATGGCAATAAAAGAAGAATGATGGCCTCTGACAGGGGCTGCTGACAAGGAGGGGACATTCAGTCTGGGTAGCATACATGCATAGGTATCGTGGTTACATGGGTACACATACATGCAAAAACTTGTGGAAATGTGTGCATTTCACAATGTACTGTGCATGTTTATATCTCAATTTTTTAAAAGTCAAAGGAGCAAGGCATTCTCTGCCTTCACTTTTCTAAGAAGGAAAAATGTTCCCAAAGTCCCAGTAGCTTTCCCCCAAAACACCTTTGGGTCACACTCTCCCCATCCCTAGACCCAGCCCCAGGGTCTCAGGTGGTGGAAACGCCATGACTGGTCAAGACCAATGCTGATGGAGCCCCTGGAGCTGGTCAAAAACAGGTTCACTTAAACATGAAGAAGACAGAGGGCCACCGAGGCAGAGAGCTCCAAGGAGAAGCGAGAGTGATTCCAGGCAGACATGGAACTGGCTGGTGCTCACGGGGCACTTGCCACATGCTGGGCTTGGGCAAGGCACTGAGGCAGAACTCTGTTGCCTCTTCAAGATGGCATCAGGAGAAGAAGGTGCTAAGAAATGATGAGGGGGGAGATCCAAAAGTTATTACCAGAAAAAAGCTGTTCAGTCTGGGTTCTCCAGAGTAAGAGGACCCATACGAAAAATGGATGGATGGGTGGATGGATGAGTGGGTGGGTGGATGGTAGATGGGTGGGTCAATGTAAGATAGATAAATAGATAGGTAGGTAGATAGATAGATAGATTTTAAGGAATTCACTCACATGATTATGGGGACCAACAAGTCCAAAATCTGCAGGACAAGCCAACAGCCTAGAAACTCAGGCAGGAGTTGAAGTTACAGTCTTGAGGAATTTTTTTCCTTGCTAGGGAACCTCAGTTTTGGCTCTTAAGCTCTTCAATTGACTGAATGAGGCCTACCTGCCTTCTGGAGGGTAACCTCCTTTGCTTACAGTTAACTGCAGATGTGAACCTCGTCCATCGAGCGGCTTTGCACAACACCTGCCCTGTGTCTGCCACAGGTTGGTTACAGCCTAGCCAACCAAGCATCCACACAGACCCGTCTTCCACATTCTTCCTGTGTGCTCTCTCCCATTGCCCCTACCAACCCACACAAGCTCCCTTCCCAGTCTAGGATGACCCTCTAAATGCGGTCATCCTAGATGACCCTATTCCTCCAAGATGTCCTGAGGCTCCACTCGTTGGAATGGGAGCTGATAGAGCCAGAAAGTGTTTCTGTCAGAGACCTGGGACAAGAGTCCTGGACCTGGCCAAATGAGCCACAAAAACCCCAAGAAGAGGGGACCGGGGATTTAGCTCAGTGGTTCTGTTGCCTGCCTTGCAAGCACAAGGACCCAAGTTCAATCTCCGGTACCACAAAAAAACAAAAAAAAAAAACCCCAAGAAGAAATACCTGTTCCCCAGATCAGTTGATCTTTCTCTAGGCTCTTGTCTTGTTCTGCTCTGTGAATTCCGTGGCCCTTGCTGTCTCTCCTAAACATATTTCTGTGATATATACTGTAAATCTGCTTCATTTGAAATTCATAGTTAATGACCTATTCCCTTGTATTCAGGAAACAAAGTAAGGTTCCGGCTTTTAAAGGCCAGGAGTTTACTAGCCAGAATATGACAAGTATTACAAAGTATAGGCTCGCTCTAAAAGCACTTAAGAAACAGTCTCCGTCAGAAATTTCAAGAATACCTTCAAATAACATCATTTATCTGCCAAGAGGCCACGGGGACGGGGAAAGGCGGTAGGCAGAGAGTAAATGAGTATTTGATCAAATCCATACTTTCAACTCCTGAGGGAGGGAGATATTTACTAACCCTTCTCGTTCTGGAAAGGTTTGTTTGCACGCTTGTTTGGACGGGGGACCTGCGTGGGGGCAAGTGTGCACAAGCCTATGTGTGTACCAAATCTCCATCTCCTGTGTCCACTGGCCCCTGTGGCTAACACACAAACCAATTCTACCAGAACCTGAACTCTGTGATCCGAGAGGTAATTGAATAAACCAGTGCCCCTGATTTCGGGAGGGCCCACTTAAGTGAAATCCAAAGCCAGCCCTGGAGTAATTGGGCTGCAAATGAATCGATCAGGCCCATCCGCACTTTCTCATTTTCAATAGAGTCAGAGCTTAACCAGGTTAAATTTTGTTAAGCACATTCCCCAGGTACACTCTCCTCACCAGCCCAATGATTTTGTGTCGGGCCTGAAGGATTGTAATTGCAATCCAGCGAGACGCCAGCTGAACAGGGTGATTTACTGAGGGGCCCAAGAGCCCAGGCTGGCCTCCTACCTGCTGGCTGCTGGATGGGAATTTCTCCCTTGAACCTCGTCATGATTAATGGTCAAGGGTCCAGAGCAAGACATCCCCTGACAGGCTGGCTCTGGGGCAAACAGGGTGCTGTTTCTTTTGGCCACCCACTCTGGTTCTTTCCAAGCCAAGGGAGTGAGGGCCTCTTTCCAAGTTCCAAGGAGCAGAACTCAGGAGCGGCTGGACTTCGAGGCCCTGGGGTTGGAGTTCCTGCTCCCTCCATGGGCAGGTGTGGCCCTCCTACCTCTTGTATGGAGAACATCACAGCCTTCCTTTCCCAGTCTCCTCCTCATTCCAGGCCTCAGGCCCCCTGGGCTGCCCCAGAGCCCCATCCTTAGACCCACGACCCTCTCCCCTCTGCTGCCGCTCTCTGCTTTCCATCCTGCTCAGCAGGCGCCTGGCTTCACCTTGTCTCAGTGCCCTCATGGGCCAGGTGGGTATGACAAGGCAGTCTGCTTGTAGGGTCGCCTGGGGAACAGCCACCCAGCATCTGGAAGACAGAGCTATGGTTTGGTTGTGTCCCCTGGAATTTTTGCATCAGAAACTTAATCCCCAAAGTGAAGTGTTAAAGGTATTTGGAGGTAGGACCTTTCATGGATTAGTGGGTTGATGGGTTACCAGGGAGTGGCTTTGTCAGAAGAGCAGAGTTCTTTGGTGCATTTGCTCAATCGCACTGCAGTCTCCTTCACCACATTTCCATACAGCCAGAAGACCCTCACTCAACTGCTGAGCAGATGCCGGCACCATGTTCTTGGTCTTTCTAGCCTCCAGAGCAGTGGAAAGAATAAACTTCTGTTCTTTATAAATTACTCAGTCTGGGGTATTTTATTACAGCAACAGAAAACAAACGAAGTCGGCAAGTCTTCAATAAAGGTCAACTATAGCCATTGATCTTCAGAAGAGAACCTGGCAAGGACACACAATAACGGGTGATAGTGAGGACAGGGAGAAATAGGAACTCTGATACATTGCTGGTTGGATTGTAAAACTGCCATGCAGACTCTTTGGAAACAGTTTGGCAGTTTCTGAAGAAGTTAAATATTCATCTACTAAAACCTCAGCAACTTCATTCCTAGATAATTTTACCCAAGAGAAATGAAGGCATGTGTCCACACAAAGACTCCTACACAAATGTTCATAACAGTTGTATTCAGTGGGAAACAACTCAGATGACTGTCAACAGGTAAGTGGATAAATAAAGTGTGGTGTGGCCATATAATGGAATAGTATACAGTCATCAAAAGGAATGAGCTACTGATACCAGCTACAAAAATGGCCGAACCTCAAAACTATTACACTAAGTGAAAGAAGCTAGACACCAAAGACCACACATCATGTGATTCCATGTTTACAAAATGTTCTGAAAAGACAAATCAATAGAAAGTAAACTGGTGGTTGCCAGGGGCTGAGATTAACCAAGATTAACTAGAAAGAGGCACAAGGGAGCTCACTGATGTAATGAAAATGTCCCAAAACTACATTGTGGTGATGGTCACATGGCTCTGTAAATTTCATAAAACGTGTTGAACTGTATACTTACAGGGGGTAAATCTGATTTAATGCAAATTGTATTTCGATAAAGTTGTTTTGAGAGAACAAGAGAGGACAGACCCTGCCTCTCCCCAAGAGGTGGCTGCCTTGGTTGGATTCAAGTCCATTTGTGAGTTTATTTTGCCAAGGAAGGGTCACCACTTTTCAATGGGAATGAAAAAGTTCAATCTGAGTCATTAAACGAGACACTAGCATCAGTAACAGGGCCCAGCAACACGCTGTGGGTGCAGGCAGCAGACACAGCTCACAATCCCTTGGTCCTTCTTCAGAAAAGGTGCTCTGGAGGATGAAAGATCAAAGGGGCCCTGCGAGCCTTCTGCAATCACTTCCTGCCCGCTGGGTGGTCGGCACGTGAGCTAACCGCCAAACAGAAAAATTCGGTATCCTGGGAACCGGTTATGCACGGGTTGTTTCCGAGCATCTCCCCTATGCGTGACATTTGCCAGCTGAAGAGGGAGACCGAAAGACCTAGAAGACATCGGATCTGCCTTCAGGAGCTTCCTGCCTGCAACCCAGGAAGAGGGTTGGTTCTACCCAGGCCTCCTGGGAACTCTCCTGTGTGCTCGATCTCTGGCTGCGACAGCCACCCTGTCCTCCTGCCATGACAACTACGCTTCAAAGCTCTCCAGCTCGGTCTCTACCCTTCCCTGTCACCCAGACACCCTCACTCGCTGGGCAGGAGCTGGCTGGGGCCAGCATTCGGGATTTCTGTGTTTGCTTCTGAGCTCTGCTGTTCGCCAGCCATGTGAGCTCGAACCAGTTGCTGAATTACGGCCTTGGTTTCCTCACCCATAAAATGGGAGTGACATTATCGGCAACCTCACAGGCCGCCTGTAGGGGCGACACAAGTCTATGTACAGAAACCGCTCAGAGCAAGTGTCAGCCTCCATCGTTGTGTTGTGAACCAGGGCCCCCTCCCCCCGCAGCTAAGCTTCCAGAACAGCCTGCTGCTGCTACCCGCTTCCAAGCCCTGTGCCCCACAGCTGCAGGAAGCAGAGACAGAGGGCCACACGCACCGCCGCTCCTGTCCTGTGCATCTGTGATGTCACCGTCGCTGTGTGACAATCAGGGCAGCAGCCCTCTCCCCCTGGGATGCAGCCACACTGGGGCAGGGCAGGCCAGTTTCTGCTGACCACTGTGTCCTCAGGGGCCCAACACAGGCCCTCCTGTGCTCTTGGTAATGTTAGTGGGAGGAGGTCAGAAGGTAGAAGGGGACAGCCCCACCCCACTCTCCCAAGATAAATGTCACTGTCACCCAACAAACCTCCAGTCCTACAACCAGTCTTCACATCAGTAAGCACTGGGGGAAGTGGGAATTTTAATTACAATGGGGCAAAGGACCCACCAACTGGCACGATACTACCCCGCATTTCAACCTTCTCAGAAGGTATAAGGCTACCCTGATGTGCGCCACTCGGAATACTGCCCAGACCTACTCTAGAAGGTTATCATTCATCCAGCACATATGACTGATCCCCTAACCTCTGTGCCTCAGTTTCCTCATCTGTACAGTGGGAATAATAACAACCCTGTGGACTAAGGTGTTTGAGACACAGCAGAGGCTTAGTAAGCGCTTATTGTATTATTGTCAGTTTGTGGCAGGTCCCACCTAACACAATGAAACAGAAGTCACCGCTTCCCTGGAAATTGCTGGCTCACATGGAGGGGAAAGGGACGAACAAACAAACATAACCCAGGAATTCTTCAGAAATTTAAGTGGCACCACTTTACTGTGCTGTACATAAGGAAAAATGGAGTCATGTGTAGGAAAGTGAGACAGTAATGTTAAGTGAAGTAAATCAGACCCACAAGCTTAAATGCTGCATAGTTTCCCTTATACGGGAAACCCAAAGTATAAATAAATTTAGGAATAAATGAAACAGCCAGGGGTGGTGGTGCACGCCTGTAATCCCAACACTCAGGGGGCTGAGGCAGGAGGATCGCTATGAGTTTAAGACCAGCCTGAGCTACACAGTGAGTTCCAGGTCAGTCTCAACTACATAGTGAGACCCTGTCTCAAAAAAAAATGAATAAAGCATAGATGATAGGAAACAGTGACTTAGATCTTTTGCAAATGGGAAGAGGAAGCAAGCAATGGAAGGAAGGGAGAAGGAAGGGAGAGGAGGGAACGTAAAAAGAATTACACTGTGCTGTGTCCATTCACCGACTTCCCGTGATGAACTAATCACTACGTACCACAAACACGTACTAATAAAAATTAAAATTAAAGAAAAAGGAAACCGCAGCACAGAGCGCAGAGGGGGTGGCCACACGATGGTGGGACAGCGTGCCACTTTCCCGTCACTCCCACCTGTCAAAAGGAGCGAAGGAAAAACAAGCCAAGCTGTGGGTGACAAGGAAGCTGAGCTGGGAATTTAGGGTGACACAGCCACCCGGAAAGACAGAGAGGATGAACCCTTCCACTAGAGAGAAACAAAGACTGTGCCTGAAGGGATCAAAACTTCAAAGACAGCAGGGCTTGTCATTAGGCTCAATGTCCCAAAAGGTAGTGGCCTTCCGTGTCCTGGTGCACCTGTCCCTCCACCTGTAAGAGAACAAAGTCACTTGCTCCATAAAAATGTGTTGCTTGTGGGCCGGAGATTTAGCTGAGTGGCACCACGCCTGCCTTTCAAGCTCAAGGTCCTGAGTTCGATCCCTGGTACCACAAAAAAATAAGTAAGTAAATAAAATAAACTTGTCACTTGCTCTATAAAAGCAACTTGCAGGGTAAAGTATGAGTGTAACAAACAGACTGACCACAAGTGTCTTCCACATGCGTCCCGTCCGAACCGGGACTAAACAACACTTACAGATCATCGAGGAGGGAGTTAGTCTGTTCGGTCCAAGAGAACCCTATTCAGCCTGGAAAGAAAAGTTTCACCTTTTAGAAATGTTTAGAAACATTAGAAATAAGTCTAAGCCAAGAGCGATGCCTCATACCCATAATCCCAGAACCCTGAGAGGCTGAGGCAGGAGGATCTCAAATTCAAGCCCTGCCTGGGCAGTTCAGTGACTTAGTCCAAACTTGTCTCCAAATAAACAAATAAATAAAGGGCTGGGGACGTAGCTCAGTGTGAATGCCCTGGATTCAATCCCCAGTACCACCACAAAGGAAGAGAGGGAGGGAAGAAGGAAAGGAAAGAACGGAGGGAGGAAAGGAAGGGAAAGAAACTAATTTTCTAAATTATATTCAGTACATAATACCAAATATATTCATATTATATTCTGGACCCAAAAGTCATTCTGGAAGAGAAAGACCCCTCTGTGTCACTCCTGTCCTTTGCTGGCTGTGCAGGAGAAAGGCCAGCAACTGTCCCATTAGTGACATAGGGCCAGCAGCTCCCGGAAGTGACCTATGACCTTGGTACAAGGAGGGAGGGAGCCCTGGCCTGGAGCCAGTGAGGTCCATTGTGAGGGACCTGCGTCCTGGTGGCTGGACCTAGCCCCACCACAACGTTCTAGCCTCCACCCGGGCTGCTCCTTAGCGGTCTCTGAAATTCTGCTGAGATTTTCACCCGCTTCTGTGGCATACAGGCAGCAGCGGGATGAATCATCTTCATGAACCACAGCATTGCATCTATTGAAGGAATGTGCGGTTCGTGGAGAGGGCTGGATAGGAACATTATGAATTTTTAAGTACCGCTGAGATCAGCCCAGGGCCACTTGCTATAAGATACGCTTGGCTGCCCACCCTTCCCTCTGCATGCCGAGCTCACAGGCAGGAGGAAGCAGGACCTCAGGCCCTCACCACATTTCCGGAAGGCGGTAGAATATGCCATCTAATGAGAAGGTGACAGGAGCAAGATATACGGGCCCCTCCTCAGCCAAAGAGCCGATTCCAGCTGATGCTCTATCCTGAGCCTTCCTGAAGGAGAGGCAGAGCAGCTGGGTGACTGAGCACGGTGGGCAGCCGTGCAGGCCCTGGACCAGATGGCAGTGAGCAAGTTGTCTGGGCCTCAGTTTCCCCACGTGCAAAATATAGATGACGGTAGCTCTACCTTTGTCCCTGGTTCCCCAGGCTTGGGGTTCTTCACACAGCACACAGCAAAGGCTCCAGGCACAGGAGGGAGGTAAAAACCCACTGGCTGCTTCTAGAACCCCAGTCAGACTTGCCAGAGCTGTTTCCCTGAGTCCCACCACGTCCCCTGAGGTAGGTATTTTATCTTCCTGTTTCAGAGAGGAGAAAGCTGAGGTCCAGCAAGGGGCAGCACCTCTGACCATGGCTACTTGGCCTCAAGGCCTTGTGGACCCCTGAGAATCACCCCTCAAGGTGTACACAGTGCCCTCCTGCTGCCTCCATGCCCCCGCTCCAGCATAGGCCTTCCTGTCCTGCTCAGGGACAGGTCTCCACGGAGCTCAACATGAGACCCACTCTGCTGAAGGTGGCTTCCAGGTAAGGCCCTCCCCGGGAGTCTCTGCATGCATGGGACTCCCCAGCCTGGCCCGGCCTCTGCCCCAAACTCCCAGCTACAGATAGGCAAGCTCTGTCCTCGGCCCTGTGGGGTTCACTTAGGGAGGCAGGCCCCAGTACGGAACTCCTCACCCTAAGCTGCCAAGCAGACACCAGTGTTTCCCTCGGACCAGGATGGGGGCAGTGTGTGTGCGTGTGCCAGTACAGCACACGTGTGTTAAGTGAGTGTGTGAATAAATGTGCATTTGTGTGTGTGCATGCACGTGTGTTTGTGCATTTCCCACGGCCTCCTGGGGCTGCACCCGGAGGAGTCTAAGCTGAAGGACGAAGCAGGGCAGCCAGGGCTGCTGCCACGCTGCTCCAGGAAGCATCCATGGCCACATGGGAAATGAGAAGCAGCTCCCTTGCACCCAGCAGGCCACAGTGTTTGCTGGAGAAGGGCAGAGTGGAGCAGCATCCTCGCTTGGTACATGGGGCCCCTGGGGAACGGTGTGTGGGTTACCATGTGCCTCTCTCTCTGCACCCACGACTGTGAGGCACCGTGCACCAGGCCAGGGCATCTAGCCCCACTGCCTGGACCCTGCCAGGGGCTGCTGTGCTGTGTGGCCTGGAGGAAGGCCTCCCCCTCTCTGCCCCTCACCTCCGTACCAGCCAACAGCTGATGGTGCTGGGCACTGTCATCCTGCTGACAACTCTTGGCAGAGGCAGCTGGAGGAACAAGCATTCCCAGTTTACAGACAAGGAGACCGAGGCTCAGAAAACTTAAGACAAGGCTCCCTTTGGATAAACTCACGGGTTAGAAATGGCTGGGCCAGGGGCAGCTGAAATGAAGGCTCCTGTACGTCTTAGCAGCAGCCATTCAGAACTAGTGGAGCCTTGTGCTCCCAGCAAAAATTTCCCAGTGTGCTTGAAAAATCTCATTCCTGCACCCTGAGGCCTTTCAGACCAATGTCAGTCCCTTCCCCAGTCTGTCCAAGGTCTCAGGGGTTCCCAGAGACCATCTGGGGTCTTCCAGGAGGCAGCGGGCCAAGCCCACCCCACCACACACCCTCTGCACGCTGGTCCCTGCATGTGCACACACACACTCACACACACCCACACACATGCACTCCCGTGTGAAGCAGGCAAACCCAGCAGGTGTGTGATCGAGGAATCCTGTTGAGGCTTCCCAGCAAGTGAGGACCGAAAAGGCTTGAAGTAAGTTGGACTCGGTAACTTGGACTCGGGAGGGGAGGGGCAGGGAGGGGGACCCCTGCGGGGTGTGATGGTGGGGTCTCCCAAGAGCGGGTTTATGATTCTTTCCCTGTCTCCAAAGTGACTTATCCAAGGCTCCCCGCCTGTGCTCCCAACTTCAGCTCAGCTCCTCCCAGGGAACCCCTGGAGGGAACAGGCCTGCAGGGAACGTTTCCCAGGCTCCCTGGTCCTGCCAAACTCCTGCTTTGCTTTTGAACTTTCTCCTGGGCCTAGCAGAGCTCCTTAAAATCGCTCCCCCTTCCTTTCCATCCATCCCCCGAGTCTCACCAACCCCTTCCCACATCACCTGGCAAGGAGGAGGCTCAAGCATTTACTGCCTACAGCAAGAACTGGAGCTGGAGTTCGGAGCCAGTGTGAGAGGGTGAGAAGGAGCCCCGCAGAGCTAGCACACAGCCTTGTCCGGAGCATCCAGCCTGACTTTCCCTGTTTCCTTTTAGGTCTTGTACCTGGGACAGCCTTCCCCATCTACAGCCAAGTGCCCGGATGCGCCCTGCCTGGCTCTGAGGAGTCCCTCCTAAGTCCCAGGCTCCCAGAGCAAACACTAAGCCAAGCAGCAGCCCGGAGCAGTGCCTCGACTTACAGTCAAGCGTAAGATCTGCAAATTCTGTTTGATCTCCCCAGAAACACGTGAAAAGCGTGTCTCTTTTGTTTTTGCTGACACGAATCTTTTTCTTTCTTTCTTTCTTTTTTTCTATTACTCCTCCTTCCGTGGTGACTTCCTTCACCTCCCCCCACCTCAATCACCAGCACATACATGAAATGCAGCAGGCGGGCAGAGAGATGGGATGGACTGACTCATCTAGAAAATAAGGTTCCTTCTGAAGCTGCCACCGGCCATAGCTCACATCTGCCCTCCCGCACCATGGGCCGGGCCAGGCCTTTTCCCGCTCCCTCCCTCCAGGTCTCTGCTGGACACCCAGCAAGGCCACCAGCACTGAAAGACCACAACCCATGGCCCTCTCCCTACTCCATCCCTCGCCTGTGTCCCTGTTTGGCTCACAATGAAGGAGAAAGCGCCTCTCCTCCTCCCACAGACTCCCTGAGGCCCTAACCATCAATCTCAGCAGAGAAACTTAGAAGTAGCACGGAAAGCCAGAGACCTGTAGGGTCCTCAGAGCAGGAAAGTCCCCATTTTTTGTCCTAACCCCCTGCTGAAGAGCTACCTGATGGAGCCAGTGGTTTAGATATAGGAGTTGATGTGTTGGGAGGATGGATGCCACTGCAGGTCACCCGTGGCCTTTGGGTCTGGGAACAAAAGCCACCAGCTGACTTTGGGGTACAGAAGCTGATCAGGCTGCTGTACACCTCAAAGGATGCTTGTCACCTTAACCAGGCTATGTCTACTGGCAGGGACCCTTGGCCACCCTAAAGGCTATGGCACGTAGGACAGCAGCGGCACTGTGCAGAGGTTGGGGGCGGCTGGGAGGTGTGACATACGGTGGGACTCTGAAGGGCCCCCAGCCTGACGCAGCAGCCTCCTCATGCTACCTGAAGGAAGAGTTCTGACTGTGAAGCATGGAAACAGTAACATTCTGGCTCCTCGAGGTCCCTTTCCTCCTGACAGCCCTGTACACTTCTGCAAAGACCTCCCTTCTTTGTCCTACAGGGTTCCTGAGGGTTGAACGTATTCCTTGAGCGCTATAACAGCATTGAAACCCAGAGATGTGAAGTCATTTGTCCAAGGCCACAAAGCATAGTTAATACAAAGAAATAAGCTGAAATTGGCAGTTTTTTTAAAAGTCAAACATACATCCGATGTGCAACCCAGCAATTCCATTCCTATGCGTTGACCCAAGAAAAAATGAACACATACACCCAGTAAAGTCTTGTACCCAAATATTTGTAGCAGTTTTTATTTATAATAGCTGGAAATTGGCTTAGTATGTCAATAGGTGAATAGCTAAACAAGTTGTAGTCTATCCCCATGGTGGAATATTACCTAGCAATAAAAATGAACAAGCAATTTATAGATGAGGAATCTCAAAACATTGTGAACTAAAAGAAGCCAGACTCAAAAAGATTTGTTAACGTGTCCCAGCTGGGGATTTAGCACAGTGGTTCCGCTGCCTGCCTAACAAGCACAAAGTCCTGAGTTTGACCCCTGGAACAAAAAAAAAAAAAAAAAAAAAAAGTGTCCTACAGTACCTGTTTACACAAAGTTCTGGAAAATAAAAACTGATTGATAGAAATTAAAAGCAAATCAGTGTCAGCCTGGGACTAGGAGGGATGGATTACACAGAGCATGAGAAATTTGGCTGTGGTGATAAATTAACAGGAATCTATGAAGTGTGATGAGAAACACACCGAATGTTGAAGGTTTCTGAAATTTATTACAGTAAAAGACACATTGCCAGCCATCCTCCTCAAAGTACCGCCCTTCATTTCAAACACACCTATCCCATTGTTTGCGCCACTTTCTAAAGCAGGTCTGGAAGTCCCCTTTCATGAGTGTTGTCCGTTGCACTATGATGGCTTCCGTGATGTCCTGAATCGATTCAAAACACTGGCCTTTCATGGTCATTTTCTCTTTGGGGAAGAGCCAGACATCACACCATGCCAGACCCAGGGAATGAGGTGGCTGAAGACGCACTGTCATGTTCTTATAAGCCTGCCTCTCCGTTGGTTGGCACTTGGCAGCTGTGTTCACCGTTTTTTGGTTTTTTTAACCATACTTCATAAAGGCACTCACAAAAGAGAACTTCCAGAACCATTTCAGAAAGTGGCAAGAATGATGTGTTCAAAGCAAGAGGGAGGATTTATAAGGAGATTCGTAGCAGCGCGTCCTTTACTGTAATACACTTTCGTGACTTCAACATTCACTGTATATTTTTATCATGACCCATACGTCTATCAAAACTCATCAAATTATACACTTAAACATGTGCAGTTTAGTACATGCCAAACTAGACCTCAATAAATGAAGCTGCATGATTTTTTAGGCATAAAAAAGAAGGGTGCAACAAGGCCAAGAGAAAGTTCTAGTAGGAAATGAAGTGGCAAGTTTTAAATATTGCTTCTCTCTTTACATCTAATTATAAGCTTGATTCGATGTCTGATGACCATGGCTCATAGAAATGGATCAGTGTGCAGAGTGTGAGCTCTGCTACTTGCGAGAGACAGGACTCAAACTCATTTCTGGGTTTTTCGAGAGGTCAAGGTAAAGAGGATAAAATGATACCAACACAACTTATAGTGTTCAGGAGCTAGCGATGAAAGCAGCAGTATAAGAAAGCCAGAGAGTTCCAGTGCTGAGCACAGGAGGCTGTCGGTCACTCGGCTTCTCTAGGATGAAACCAGGCACATGCAGTGTCAGCAGAATCCATATGAGTGAAGGTGGCAGAAGCTGCAGTGTGCTGGGAAACATCTAACCACAAGCTCCTGAGCGGGGAGAGTCCTGGCTCATGGGGCCTGCCAATTTCTGTGGTGTGAATACTTCCTGCCACAGCCAATTCCAAGTTACTCGTGTGAAGTCACCGAACACAGAGTTTCCACCACACAGACACAATAAATGCAAATACCCCTGACAGCATACATAATACAAAATGCAGAGAAATGGTTAGGAAGTGGTGAGTTTGGAATACTTATTGTCTTTTTAAATCTAATCTAATTGTAAGCTATTTGAGTTTTAATGATGCTGGCTCACAAGGCTCTAGAAGGCTTAATATTATTGTATACAGTGACCCACACTGGCCAGCCGCAGCAGATCTGGGTTGTGACGGAAGCCATGTGTGCCAGCGTCCTGTGGTTAGATGTGGTAAGCAGGGCTGGATGACAGAGGAGGCCGACAGAAGCCACTTGCAGACACGGACGTAGATGGGGCTCTGAGTGGTAGTGAGGTTGGGTCCCTGGCTTTCCAAGAACAAGGAGCTGGTAAGCTATGCCCTGAAGAACTTGGGGAAGGACAGTGGAGCAAACTCTGACTATCAAGTCAAAAGCTCCTGGCTAGATATCACCAGAAGCACCTCGGTCAGGGACTCAGAGATCCCAGGACCACAAGGAACTCCATGAGATAGACCCAATGGGTCCCTGATACATGAATGCCATATTCTTTTTTCTTTCCGGTACTGAGGATGGAACCCAGGGGCACTCTACCACTGAGCTACAAACTCAGCTCTTTTTATTTTTTTCATTTTGAGACAGGATCTTGCTAAGTCACCAAGTTGCCCAGTTTGGGCTCAAACTTGTGATCACCCTGCCTCAGCCTCCTGAGTACTTTGGATGATGAGTGTGTGGCGCCACCCCCAGCTAGGTGTGCCATCTTTAAACACTCTTTACTGGAAAACTTCCAGCAGCAGGGAGCTCACTACTTCCCCTCACCCCTCGGTACATGGATTTCCTGAAAACTTACCTGGCCAGACACTGGGTTGGGTGCTGACCAGGTAGACAGTGGTGCGTCTCGAGGTTGTAAAACTCTGCATGTCCTCCGGCAGCTGCTCCATGTCATGGGGAGCCTTAGAGTCAGGCCCACTGGTCCTCTCAGCCCCACTTCCCACTAGCGGTGCAGCCTCAGGAAACTGCCCATCTTCCAAGTCTTGGTTTTCTCATCTGTATACAATAAGTCTGACCAAAAGCCCCCAGATGCACAAGCATGATTCCTTCTGCACATTGGAGCCCTCCAGGTGAGTGGGAGCCATCTTTTCAATCATAACGATAAGCCGGGCATGGTGACGCACACCTGTAATCCCAGCACTCGGGAGGCTGAGGCAGGAGGATCGCTGTGAGTTTGAGACCAGCCTGGCCTACATAGTAAGTTCCAGGTCAGTCTCAACTACATAGTGAGACCCTGTCTCAAAAACAACAATAACAACAAAAAATCAGTCATAATGATGACATGACTAACAGTTGGAATTCTGTGTTCTTGAAGCTTTCTGTATTAATTCATGTAATTCTCTTGATGCCATAGGAGATGGGTACTATCGGGATGCAAATGAAAAATGAAGGCCCAGAGAAGATGAGTAACTTCTCAAAGGCATGCAGCTAGGCACAAAGTGGCAGCCCCGGAACCTAGGTGGGGGAGCACATGCTGCCCCGAGAACCTCCTCCTGAGATAGTTTCAGGAGCCAAGGCCTGGAGCCCCTCCACCTCCCACGGCCCCCCAAACAGACGTCACTGCTTCCGGTGAGGTCCTAACACCCGAGGGTGGGACAGCAGGGCTTGCTGTCCTTCCCTGGGGCTTGGCTTGCCCTGCTGCTGCTCCCTCCACCCCCAGAACCCTTTCCCTGGACCACCCCAAAATGAAGTGTTCTATAGAAGTCACCAGCTCTTCTTTCTTGGAAATACTGTTCTTTAATCTGAGATGAGCCACTTCCTTTCTTGTTAATGTCCTTTTAAGGACATACGAGTGCCAGTCATTCTTTGGTCATAAGATTTTAATATCCTCAACTGATAAATCAGCTTGTCACCCAAAGCAGTCCCAAAATTGAAGGATTGTACTAATCCACAAAAGCCCAAAGGCGGTAGGAGAGGGGCTCTCAGCTGCCCCTTGGCCTGGAATCCTTCCTACAAACCCCTGGGGCTCAGCCGGGTGGAGCAGTGTTCCCTGTCCGCTGAGGGGCGCCTCAAACTCAACCCCCCCCCGGAAGCTCAGAGAGAACCCCGAGCCCTGCACCATGCACCCACTCGCGAACGTGTTCTGATGGCCTCTCCCGCTCCCCAGAGATGAGCCCCTTACCCTAGGGAAGCTTTGAGGGCCTGCGCCTCAGGCTGTGTCCGGCAGAGCAGGAGCACCTGTAGCTTCACCAGGGAGCGGAGTGGCAGAGCCCAAGCAGCAGCCAGGGTTCTGTCTGGGCTCAGCAGGAGGCAGGGATAAGTGTGGGGGGGGATCTCCCGCCCCTGCCCAGGGTCCAGCCAGATTCCTCTCTTCTCTTGCTGAGCCCCTCACTCCCACACCCACACCCACACCCACACCCACACACACTCACTCTCCAGCCCCGGCCCCCACTCACACACTCTGACACACTCACTCATGTTCACACTCGTACCCACAGCCACACATACCACCCTCACATCCTACCCTCCAAGTCATCCTTGGGGTCAGTGCCCGGCCAAGCTGTCCCCACGTGCCCAGCCCCCTCAGCTATGCAAGCAGGGCCCCAATTCCTCCTGCCTGGCCTCACTGGGAGTAGGGAACTGGCCTTCCTGTACACACAGACACGGAGTGATCCCGAGACCTCCACACAATTTGGCCTTGCTCATGATTTACCTCACATCAGCTCTGGGGCAGATGAAGGGAGATCAGCGGGAGTCAGTCACGACCCCTGCTGTCCCTGCATCACACATACAGGCCTCTTCGTGGGGCCACACCACCCTCTTTTTAAAATATAATTTGCTTTATTTATTTTTTTAATTGACAGATAATAGTTCTGTGTATTCCTGGGGTCCTTTGGTGACATTTTAATCTATGTATATTGTAGAAGATTCAGTCAAGATTGTTACTATTCCGTCACCTCATGAATTTATCATTTTCTTATGGTGAGGATGTCAAAAATCTGTGTGTTTAGCCAGGCATGTCGGCACTTACCTGTAATTGTGGCTACTCGGGAGGCTGAGGCAGGAAGATTGAAAGTTCAAGCCCAGCCTGGGCAACTTAGTGAAGCCTTGTCTCAAAACAACAACAACAAAATAAAGTAAAACAGGGCTGAAGGTGAAGTTCAGTGCTCCCTGGGTTTAATCCTCAGCACCTCAAAAATAAGAATAAAAAATTATAGCTTTAGCATTTTTGAAACATACAATGCATGCTTATTAACTGTGGTCACCAGGTAGTACAATAAACCACTGTAATTTGTCCCGCCTGTTTAACTGAAACGCTGTACCTTTTGCTCTGTCCCCC